TTGTTGGTTTCTACACAAGGTGAGTTGTCAGTCCGGAAGTATCTTGCCTGGCAGTCTGTCCAGATACATGTAGTGGAGCAAGGTCCATTCGAGATAGATAGAGAGAAGAATATGGGCCTCGCTGCACTACTCTTGAAATGTGCAAAACGAGAGTGAATCTTCAGCTAGAATTCGGAAAGATACACAGCCAAGATTTTTGTCTTTTGTGCATGTCGAGAGTAGTGCAGCGACGCCCTATAGCTTAGGTCCATTCTTGGGATTCTTGCCTGCCAGTCTGTCCAGATACATGTACTGGAGCAAGGTCCATTCGATATAGGGTCTCGCCGCACGGCACACGAAACGAAAACGAAACGAGTGCATCTGCCCACAAAAGGTGGCAAAATACACTCGGTACTATTTGTAGCAAACCGATGAACCAGGCAATTTTCTGCAGGAAGATGCACGCGTTTCATTTTTCATTTCGTGTCCCGTGCGGCGACGCCCATAGATAGAGAGAAAAATATGGGCCTCGCTGCACTACTCTCGAAATGTGCAAAACGAGAGTGAATCTTCAGCTAGAATTCAAAAAGATACACCGCCAAGATTTTTGTCTTTAGTGCATGTCGAGAGTAGTGCAGCGACGCCCTATAGCTTAGGTCCATTCTTGGGATTCTTGCCTGGCAGTCTGTCCAGATACATGTACTGGAGCAAGGTCCATTTCGAGATAGGGTAGGCACACGAAACGAAAACGAAACGAGTGCATCTGCCCACAAAAGGTGGCAAAATACACTCGGTACTATTTGTAGCAAACCGATGAAACAGACAATATTCTGCAGGAAGATGCACGCGTTTCGTTTTTCATTTCGTTTCCCGTCCGGCGATGCCCATACCATAGATAGAGAGAAAAATATGGGCCTCGTTGCACTACTCTCGAAATGTGCAAAACGAGAGTGAATCTTCAGCTAGAATTTGGAAAGATACACCGCCAAGATTTTTGTCTTTTGTGCATGTCGAGAGTAGTTTTTTTTTTTGTTTTTTTTTTTAATCATGTCGAGAGTAGTGCAGCGATACCCTATAGCTTAGGTCCATTCTTGGGATTCTTGCCTGGCAGTCTGTCCAGATACATGTACTGGAGCAAGGTCCATTCGAGATAGATAGAGAGAAAAATATGGGCCTCGCTGCACTACTCTCGAAATGTGCAAAACGAGAGTGAATCTTCAGCTAGAATTCCGAAAGATACACCGCCAAGATTTTTGTCTTTTGTGCGTGTCGAGAGTAGTGCAGCGACGCCCTATAGCTTAGATCCATTCTTGGGATTGCACCTCAGACGGCTCTGAAATCACAATTCCAAAATCCGAACCCATAACTTTTTTTCCACAGATGGCAGGGACGTCGCAGAAGGATATAATCTCAGCAAAGTCTCATCAGAAGCATAGTGTTCGCCTCGTGGCTGAGGTGAAAGAGCATCAAATGTTGCTACTGGTAAGTGGTCCATTGGACCACAAGATGATAAATTGGATTAGGGGCCTACCCGACCCACATCTTAAGAAAAATGCATGGCTGATCTCCGCTGTTGATCTGCACAGATCAGCGGCGGATATCCTGTGTCCGTTTTTCTTATAGAAATGGGGTCCTGGCCGATCTTCGCCGCTGATCCGCGATGATCGGCGGCCAAGATTGGCCACTTTCTGTACTTGAAAAATTCGGGCCTACAGGACCTGGTTTCGAAATTGCGGGGCAGGGCCCCCCCCCCACGAGGCCTCAAGAACACATACGGGCCGACAAAAAAAAAAATTCAGCCCCCAGCGAAAATGCGCTGGGGGCAACTGGGAGGGAACCGGCCCGGGCCACCGGCCGGTCCAACCGGGAGGACCGCGGTTGGGGTAGGGGTCCCCGGTCCATCCGGGGACCAGCCCTGCTTATGACCAGTTCTGCCCGTTATTTATCCTTGCGTGCAACGAGCCTTACATCCGATGATCTGGCTGATCAAGAGGCAATTTAAGGACAACCCCCGAAGTCCTCGGGAACTATTGAACGTTGCAGATAGGACGACGATCACAGCCAGAAATCAGATCCAGCCAGAGTTTCTTTATAGATAGTCTGGTACACATCTCGCGTAGGACTGGTCAGTCCACGTTCCCTCTACAGTGCAGCAAAGAGCTCAAAGGACAATGCAGCATGGCCTGCGTGCACTACTCCCGTGGGTGGGCATGGTGACTGTGACCCGTGCTTCGTGCAAGGCCCTACAGAGGCCCTGCCTCTCCTGCCAAATGCGCCACCAGGACGAATGTCGACTCTCAGGTTAGAGCGCTCACGACTCCTGAGCAAGAAGAGGACTCTCAAGTCGAACTCACTTCCTCACGGTAAGAAGAGATTGAGATGGGAAGATAAGGTAAGAGGACAACGTACCTGAAGATATCTTCCCCCAACCACAGATTTCTCACCAATTGAGCCGACGTGCATTTCAATGACTGGTTATAGCCTTGGTACCACTCACAATGCAATGCAGTGCCATCTCAGCCAAAATGCCATGTCAGCATGCTCTCATCATCCCACATACATCTGCTGTCGGCACAGCCTTTCGGCGACGCTCCCCCTTACCCGGGAGTCGCCCTAACAAGCCAGCCCCAATGTATCCTTACTGCGTAGAAGCTTCGTCAACGCACCAAGTAACAAAGTTGCCAGCGCCAGTAGTGACGATATTCGAACCAGCTCTGATACCAAATTGCAAGGAATATGAGCGAGAGCGATAGACAGCAAAATCACGAAGCAGTCCAAATAGTCATGTACCAAGTAGAGAGCACAATGCACCAAGAAACCATCCAAATAAGAACAATACAATGAACTTGATTGCCAATGCTGATGCTCTCTGGTCACACCAACGCTGTACCCAATGTCGCTCCTACTGTTTGGCGCCCAGCCCCCAGCCTGCACTACCCAGCCTATCCATCCTATCTACGTTCATGCGACTGGATCATATCGAAGTTGAAGACCAATGTACGTGACGTCATCACCAATGCCGACCGCCAGCATACACCAGGTACGTTTTCTCTCCTCCCCTCATCATACCCTGTCTCCCCTTTGCATGCGCCCCCTACCTGAAGACCACCATCACCATCACCCGCTTACCCGCACACTCAGCCCGGCTATGGCCGCCGTGCGCGCGCTGCCACCGCAGTGCGCCCCAGCCTGCCTGCATAGCGCAGTGTCGCACGACAAAGCAGCAGTGTGGCCGCAATGCCTGCTGTGGGGGGCCCAGTAGCTTGCCTCTGGCCCCAAGTGTCTGCGCCCAGGCCCAGTTTCCGATACTGGCCTGGGCCTCATGCAGTCAGGCACGTCCTGGCAACCACCTAGCCTCCAAGTGTTTGCAGCATTCTCATTGGCTTGCGGCTCATGTGTGACGACAATGCTGCTTCTTCATTGGCGCGCGGCCAGTTCGTGATGCGTTGGCCTCACACAGCGTGTGCACAGGGCGCAACCACCTGAGCCCTGGGTTCAACTGTACAGCGCAGCTGTGGCATACTGCGTAGCCACACGGGCCTGCAGGGCCCGTCCCACATTCTCAGCCTAAAAGCCTAGAAATAAGGGCTTACAGGCCCCGTGTCCTTTAAGTCTGAAAGACTGAAAACGAGGGCCTGCAGGCCCTATGTCGTTTCAGCCTACAACAGGGCTTTTCAGCCTGAAATGGAGGGCCACTTTCGGGCCCTCATAAGATCGACCTGCCCTAACACTCAGGCACAAAACCAGGGTTTCGGGAACAGGCTATCTTTAGCCTGTTCCCACGAACAGCCTCAGCAGGAGCTGCAGCGGCAGCCCCTGGCTCCCTTTGGCATTGGCAAGAGGAGCCTCCTGGACTGCCCCGCCCTGCAGCTGCAGGCAGTCAGGAGGCAGCCCGAGTAGTACATAGGGAGTTCCCATGCACTTCACGGGTGGGTAGTTGGACAGAAGGCAGGAGTAGTCTTCAGCGTTGGGCGCTAGTAGGTGGTAGTAGTAGTGTTTGGGAGAGATGGCTGGCGGAGGCCAGTGAGACTTACCTGTGGCGCCATAGCTCCAGCTCCATCTTCGAGGTACCTGCATCAATGCGCCAACTTCACAGGTTAGTACCGGACTGAGAGAGAGAGAGAGAGAGAGAGAGAGAGAGAGAGAGTTCTTCTTCTTCCTCTTCTAAGTCCACCGTCTCTTCTTCCCCTCTCACCACCTGACTTCTCAGTATCAGCGGACTACGACAGAGAGAGAGAGAGTTGTGACTTGAGACTTGACGACATTGGATCCAGACTCGACATTGGGATTCAGACATTTTGACGAGGGACTATTTGGGCCTGTGCCGAAGACTTGGTGTTGACGACATTCCCATCTTCCCCTCTTCTTTGTCTAACCCCCCTCTTCTTCGTCTGTGTATGGTTGGGGCTGGCGCATTCTTCCTGTGTGAGCGCCAGACCCCTTCACACCATGGAATGATGATGATGATGTATGTTCGGGGCTGCATTGCAATGTTGATTGTTTGGATCATTGGTATCTAAGTCTTCCGCTACGCTATCTTGTACTTCGTGTTGAGAGGTCGGTTCTTGTTCTGGTCTGCACCGTTACAGTATTGCTTCTGGAAAGAGCCTGGAGGCTCACGTTGCCCTGTAAACAACTGGCGTGCTGCAACTGTCTGAGTACCCACATATGGAAAAATGTCGAAAACAGGCCTCGCGTGGATATTCAGGCCCGCCTTCACTTAGGGCGGGCACGGGCTTGCTAGGGGCCGCAGCCCAGAACACTTGTATGTCTGATATGGGCCCCACGAGGGCTCATTCGCGCACATCTACGTATATCTGGAGATTACGTACACACTTCATATAACATAATGTGCAAGTACGGGATGAAGTTCAGTTGCTGAATATGGGTATGCAAAACCAAATAGTGCTGTCATGTGCAAAAGAGAAAGTCAGGGACATCATAAGCATGTGAAACAAAATGTGCTTGAGCATGACATGGGAAGTCTGACACCCTGTTCTTCCCAATGGTATTTTGTGAAGGGTCGTTTGGGGAGGTATTCAGAGGGATATGGCGTGGAACAGAGGTTGCGATCAAGGTGCTCCTTGAGCAGGATCTGACACAGGAGAATACGGATGACTTCTGCAATGAGATATCATTGCTAAGGTCAGTGACAAGTTGTATACGTGATACTTATGAAAGGATTTGCACACTGTACTTCAGGTGCTTATGGCAAGATGCTTGGTTCACTCGTCATCAGATGTTTATGTGTCTGTGTCTGGGTGTGTGTGAGAAGTGTTTGTTAGGCGATGCAAACAGCACCGAGTGAAACCAATTGCCTAACTGCTTCTTACCAAATCAAGCAGTGCGAACTGAGCTACCTGCACAAGTAAAATCCAGAAAAAAAAGACAGGCATACAAAGATAAACAGGTAAAAATGACAGGCTTCTGTTGGACTTGTCCCTCATTAGGAGGCTAAAGCACTCAGTGCGCTGAAACCTTTTTCGGTAGCTCATTCCAATCTGCCTCGACTTGAGGACACAGGCAGGCAGCACAACTAGTCAGGCAGCAGCAAGCCAAGCAGGCATGTGGGTTTGCTGGCAGGTGTACAATCATTCTTCTTCTTCTTCTTCTTCTTCTTCTTCTTCTCCTTCTTCTTCTTCTTTCTTCTTCGTCTTTCTTCTTCGTCTTTCTCCTCCTCCTCCCCCTCCTCCTTCCTGCTGCTGCTGCTGCTCTTGGCGCTGCCGCTGGGGCTACTACTACCCTACCATTCTCAGTGTTGCTGCTGCTGCCACCACCACTGTGGCCACCACGGCTGCTACTGTCATTACTGACTATGGATGATCATTGCCATCAGTCACTCCCTCCCTGGTTGCTAAATCCTGAAGTCACTACCACAGGGAAGGATAAATAGGGCTGGGTTTTCCCTGCTCCCATTAACTGCACTATGGAGCCATGGCTGGAAGGAAGGAATGACGGTTTTCTTGGCAAACCCTAGGTAGCAACATGGTCTGCATTGGACATCTCCCTGGCTATCTGGACTGGACGTGTTGTGCACAGCCTGTCTTGAAATCTGGATCGAGCCATCCCAGCCAATCCTATCCAGATATTTGGCCGGAGAGGGCATGATTCCATTGCACATGAGGCATGGGGTCCATGGAAAGTGGCAGGGATATAGAGGGCAAGGGTGGGGAGATGGTTGAAGGAGGAAGCACACATAGGGGAGGTTGGAGGGGGAAGAAAAAAGTTGGGGGACATGCTAGAGGGGAGAGCGTTGGAAGCCAGGGGGCACAGTGCCACGCGGGGGCGCCTAGAGGGGGAAATCAGGGAGGCAGTTGAGGAGGGAGGCGTATGAATGGAGAAACAGAGGGAGGAAGTTGAGGGCAGACAGGCGGACATGAGGGAATGCGGAGGGGGTTTTAGGGAGAGGGGGAGCTAGTCACGAGAAGGGGAAGGAAGGCGAAGGCTGGAGAAGTTTGCAGTGAGACACCCAGGTAGAGGGGCTGCTCTCTTTTAAGAAAAAGCAGAAAGGAGAGTACTAGTAGGCTGATGAGGAGGGGTCAGGAGGATGACGATTAACTTCGGTCACGAAAAGGACAAAGAGGCATCAAGCTGATGAAGCAAGTCAATTATGAAACAATGGGCCTCGCTCCGCTATAGCTTTCTAAATGCATTTACTATTTAGAGAATTTTAGACCTGTCAATGGGCCTCATATGCTCACAATTTTTTATTAGTTGGGAAAAGAATAGTAATGTATATGGAATACTTAACATTCCTGATTCATGTCTATCTGTTCCCACTTCTCATGCTTTGTTGATTCTTCTGCATGCTTCTTGCTGAGTCAATTCTTACGAATGAGAGTTCAATCAGGTCGTAGAGTTTCTTCAGCATGGTCCTTCTGCAGATGATCAATGTGTTTGCAGGTAACCAACGTATGCTCAAGTTTTTCAGACATGCTGATGCGCTGCCGAAACCTGCATGCTCACATATACTTAACCCACATGGGTTACCTGCATGTTCTGGGTAGGTTGCCCTGAGGTTCTTGCCAGACCTGCAAGGTCATATCTATGATGCTGTTGTGTTCCATCTCCTCTGTGCCATCTCCTCTGTGAAGTCGCTGATTATAACTGGGATCTGAAATATGAAACCCACATAAGTAGAACAGAACAAAAGGGAGCTGTTGTACTCTCTGGCTGCCACAGATAGTGGCCCCGTCTAGACCTCCACATGTTTGCAACAATGAGAACTTCCCAGATGCGAATTGGTGCTGCATGTGGAAAAACGTTGCAACGTTAGAGACTTTGCATCTGGTCTGCTCACTGAAGAAAGTTTGGCTTCGCTGCTTCCATGTTTGTGTCTTCAACATGAAATACTGAGGCTTGGTGTGTTGATTTTTGGGCGATCGGGGTGTTCTTGCATGTTCTGTTTCCTTCTCAAGCCGGCTCCGTCATCCAAATGGTGAGTCCCTTGTTTGACCTACACATATGCTTGGTTTCAACGGACTGTTCAATATCCATTTGCCTATTCTCCCAGTTAGAGCTAATCTGTTGCAAGTCCAGCTCCATTACCATGTAGATCTCCTGGAGCGCTCCCTCTGGGGAGTGAAGTAGCATACATTCTTGATGTGTAAGGTACCTTCAGCCAGGGTCCTCTTCCGTCTTCCATGTGGGGAACATTACAGCTCTGATGTCATGGTTGTCTGTGTCACGGGTTCAGATTCCTTAAATCCAATGATGTGTGAACATAATCAAATCAGAGCATTATAATTTGGTAGCCACAGTAATAGGCCGGCTTGTTGTGCCATGTATTGACAATAGTTTGTTATTCGCTGACATCTGAGCAGGCAGTACTTGAACAATCTGTTTCTGGTACCCTTACATGCGCCTCTGGCCGTTTTTCAAGCCCTCAAGGGTGACCCCTTTTATCTGTGTACCTTTTATTATTTTTATATATGAATTTAACTGGGCACGGGTGACCCCTTTTTATCTGTGTACCTTGTGTGAGGAACAAGCCCTCAAGGGGCCCTATCAGACATCTCATTGTTCTGGGCTAAGGCCCCCAGCAAGCCAAGTGCCGGCCCTAAGTGAAGGTGGGCCTGAATATTCGTCAAAGGCAAATTCGACATTTTCATATGTGGGTATTCAGGCTCTCGCAGCACGCCAGACGGTTATGAAGACGCGTGAGCCTCACGTTGCTGCGTCATACAGTTGTCCCAGGCCTTGACAGTTGCGCCTGGGCACACATACACAAAGGCAGGGCCGATACATTGGCAAGCAGGCCTTCGGCCTTTGCAAAAGCAGTAGTGCCAACGCACGTGCCTGGGAGCCCTGCGCAGATGCAGCAAACAACCCATGTCCGGAGACTCAGGCCGTGCCTAACTGCAAAGGGCCCAGGCCCTCAACTGTAGTCTCGGGCCTGAGCGCAGGGTCTGGGACACAACCGGAAGCTGCTGGAATCTACCAGCCAAGCCACACGCAGCATCGAGGAGGCTGCCACTTCCACAAAAGGAAGAGTGCAATGACTTGCTGATTACGACTGCCGAGACTAACTGCGAGGCTGTACAGTACAGCAGTAGGTTAGATTCGTAACTTTGTTTGGCTGAGGGCTAACCGAGAGACCTACCTGTAAGGAAAATTCATGAGGGACATATCTGCAAATATGGGAAAATAGGCCCAGCAGTACTTCGAATTTCCCACAGCTACCGTCGCTGCGTTTAGCAGGCCCAGGCTACCCCTAGGACAGACAGGCCCTAAGGGCCTAAGCTGATAGACGGTCCTATAGCCTATAGCCGGGTCCGGTAGAGGCCGAGAGGCCGAAACTGAAATGGTACCGGTCGGTCAGTCAGTCCGGTCTAGGTCTAGGCTAGAGTAGTAGAGTCTATTAATAGTTTGGGGAATCGGGTTGGGACTTTTGGAAGTTCATTTTTGCGATCCAGCGTTTGGAGCCAGGAGAGCTTTGGAGCGGCGATTGTCTGCAGGCGGCACCCTGAGACCCTCACCACAGACAGCAGACATAGCCAGCCTGTTGAGGGCTTGCCATAGATGGGGCATCCCCTGCGCATCAACCCCTATGGGTTTCTGCGATTGGCTGGGCTGTGTGGAGACTCTTCACTGAGTCCTTGTGGGTGACGGCAGCCATAGCTGCCGGTTCTTCGTCAGAGTTGTTCAGCGGCACTGAAGACTTCATCACAGGATCTGTTCTTCATCTGGGTGGTTGGCGCTGGCCTCTGGGAGGCCAGTTCAGTGTGGCGCTACTAACTGGGTGTAGGATAGAGAGTGGAGTGTGGAGTTTTGGGTGGCGAGATACTGGGACAAACTCTGTAGCGATTTGGTTCAATTGCCTCATCATCAGTGTGTATTCCAATTGTTATCCTCGCAGGTTCTTCCTTGTGATTGGTTGTTGGGAGTATTGCCAGAGAGTGAGAAACACTGTGTGTCCTCTCCCCATTTGTGCATGGTTGTGCTTCCGCTATCTACTTTGATCTGTGTGCAGTGTGGACTCTGTCTCCTCTCCCCCTTCTCTTATGCATGTATGGGCGTGTATGAGACTGTCTGTGTGTGAGTGGCGATAAAAATTGTCAGGCAACCGAGTTCGTAACAGCTGGTATCAGTGCGAGATTGGAATTGGAGCACTGAGGGTTGAGTGCAACGGGCATCTTCTTCATCTGGCAATATACTGGCGAGAGCTTCATGACGATTCATCTTCCCCAGTACTGAGTCAGCAGGGACGAAGACTTCAAGCGGTGGATTGAGGAGTTCAGTGCTTGCACTGAGCAAGCGCACTGCCTGTCAGTGCGCTTGTCTGAAAGTGGCAAGAACAGGGTCAATTCGCCATAGCCAACCCTGAGGGTGGTGTTGCGAAGTACCCCTGAGTGGCGAATTACCCCTGGAGACTCCAGGGATTGCTGAGCGGCTTCATCCCTGAGCAGCGCTGAGTGAGATTGACAGTCTGTGTCAATCTCAGGAGAGAATAACCCCATTTGGGGCTAATTATAGCATCAGTGGATTTCAGGTCCTGTGGCGAGATTTTCATCAGTTGGTGTTTGGGGTGCCACAGGGTCAGATTCAGTAGATCTGACTAAAGGGAGTGAAGCACTTCAGGATCCTGAAGGGGATCAACAAGTTTGAAGAGGTTCTGTGCGTGGAAGACAGAGGAAGAAGCTCTGGGAGAATTTGGCGAAGTGAGGTTTTCAGTCTGCCATAGCCAAATCTTCATCAACCTCTGCAAGATACTCTGAAAGTGAGTCTGTTCCATGCACCTACCTATATAGCGATTCAGATAGGATTAGATTAATCAGTAATTATGGGCTATCTGTCTGTCAGTGACTGGATATGCTATCTGTCTGTCAGTGACTGGATATGAAAATCGCAGACTGCATGACAACCATAGCCATCTCTCTCCTATTTTCCTCTGCTCATTTCTCACCCTTTGTTGACTCTTTTCTATCCAAAATTGTTCTATGACTGCTGGACTGTATTGCGATTGATTCTGGATGTCCGGATTGTGAATTCTGTACTGGAAAGGTAGTGATACTATGAATTGCAGTTTTGCGCTGAGTCTATTTATAGCCTGTGCTAATTAGGGACAGTCATAACTCCAATTCTGTCCGTCAGAATTCAGTTCTGTCATTTCCCAGGAAATCGCAATTCAAAAATAGTCATCCCTGCAGAATCGCTTGATTGGATTTCCAGTATATCACTGGAAACAGTGAATACTGTACTTCGCCATACCCTAGGGTATGGCCACCAGAGTCATCAGGGCTGAAAATTGAGTCTGAGCTAGGATACAGAGTCTCTAACTGAATCGCTCTGCTTACTCGATCCTTCTTGTCTGTACTTGCCCCTCTTTTTTATTCTCACTGATTACTCTTGTTTTCTAGTGGGCTCTGGAAATCTAGTGTTTCTCTGGAAGAGTAGTGGACTGTTTCTACTAACTTCAGTAGGGTGCAGGGTCAGTAAAAGGAAATTGTGTGTTTGATTTTACTGGACTAACTGTCCGTCTAACACCTGACCCCAGAGAAACAGTTCCAACCCAAACCGTTTGTGCTTATTCACCCACCTGACTTCTGTGCATGAGTTGGCAGCGATTTCTGAGTACCTGAAGGGATCTGTATATCGCTGCATACTCTCTGCTGTTTGTTTATTTTCGTGTGTTCTGAAAGAGGAAAATGGCTGATCAAGTCGCTCAGCAGCAGCCACAGGTGGAAGTAGTAATGAAGGCAGAGGGTGAGCAGCCTGCTACCTCCACTCCTACCACTCCTCTGACTGCTACTCAGCGAAGGAAGAAGGAGATTCAGGAAAGGTTGCAGCAGGAACAGGCCCTGCTTGACGAGTTGGAGAGACAGGAGGCAGCCGAGCTAGAGGCTGCAACAGATGCTTCGCGACAGGAGTATCTGTTGGAGCAGCTAGGCAAGGCTGTATCTGATGAGCGTTGTGCACAGGTGACTAGGAATCTGGCGGAATGGGCCATTCTGGAACACAAAACCACCAGTTCCTATTTCACTAATTGGGACGACCACATAGGTCGTCTGAAGCATAGGGTGGATAACCTGGCAGCTCGGCAGTCCAAGATCCTGACAGCAATCCAGGATCTGACTGCTCAGCTGACAGCAGCCAAACTGATTGCTCCCCTGTCTCCTGTCCTCTCAGCGAAACCTAAACCTTCCTCTTCTCCCTCTTCCACCGACTTTGGATCACGTCATTCTTCCCCTTCACCACCTCCTTCCCACAAAGCCACAGCCAAGCCATCTTATGCATCTGTTGCTGCACGAGACCAGAGAGGCCCCAAGATCCCAGCTCCCGACAAGTTCAGAGGGGATGACCCAAAGACCGATGTTGATGACTGGGCTGCTGGGACCAAAGCCTACTTGAGGGGCTTTGTCTGTGCAGAACAGACTAAGGTGGGCACGATTCTGGGACTGGTGGAGGGACCCGCCTTGAAGTGGGCCACCTCAACTTCCAGCAGTCTTCAGCAGTCCATGGAGGACTGGGTTTTTGGGCTGGGGGTGGACAGACTTCAGCAGGCCCTAGAGGACCGCTGTTACATCTTCGACTCACACGGGTCCTACCGGACCCGACTTAGGGCCGGAGGAACACAGCAGGGCCTAAAGGCCCGACCTTTGGGATTACAGGCCCTAAAGGCCTGATTTTGGACTAAGCCCATCGGGTAGGCCCAAACGACACTTTGTTTGGGCCTGGCGGCGCTCTTGAAGCTGCCGCCCGCCGATGGAGGCTGAACCGTCCATCTTGACGGTCCAGGGTCTGGCCTGGCCTCGCAGCATTGAGGCCAGACCATTGCCTACCGGTATAAGTACCGGTATCCTGCCTCAGTTGAGGATCGGCCTACCGGAACTCTACCGGCACGGCATGGTCAGTACTAGCGTACTGTTTTGATGCGCTAAACTTAGCGCAGGGGCTGAAGCAGGAGCGCAGCATAGCGCAGCGTAGCGCAGCAGCGAGCGGAGCAGCGGCAGGGCGACTGAGCCAGCACGGCGGCCATTGCCGCCTGAGGTACCGGGAGCTTGGAGGGTCTCTCCTCCTCTCCCTCGCCAGTCCCCTCTCTCTCTCTCTCTCTCTCTCCTCTTCTTCTCCTTCTTCTTCTTGTTCTTCTTGTTCTTCTTCTTCAGATTGGAGACTATCCAGTTGGATAGAGATCATGGTTGGATTTCGGTGATACGAGACTGTGGTACTTACCTGATTGGAGACTTGGAGATTGTTGAGGTTGATACTCGGCTGCATCACAGCTGGACACCGGTTACATCTGGACTCGGTTATCTCCGACATTGGTGACCTTTTGGTCCTCGACACTTTGATCTTGTTATATGACATTCTGGACTACCATTTTGGAGACCTACCGGACTCTATCTCGTGACCTATCGGTGTGATCTACCTCCTACCTCCTTCGTCTCTCCTCCCACCTTTCATCTGTGTATGTGTGTACAGGATCAGGGTATCGTCTATGCATGACCCAGACCCCACCATCTCATGATTGTATGTGTGTGGAGTGATGCCATGTAGGTCAGTCTATGTGAGTCAGTTCGTTATCAGACTTCCGCTGCATAAATGCTTATCCTATATTGGTTGATCTTTGGTTCTGCCCATACTCGTTGAAGTATGTAACAGTTTTGGTATCGGAGCAGACCAAAACGGATCTGCTCACCAGTTAAGACCATTTAGAATTAGGTTATCACGTTTGATC